CCTCAGCATTGGGTGGTACAAAGTGTGAAGATGCTAACAGGGCTGGCTATAAGCAGAACGTTAGCCAGTGTTGTTTGCTGGAGGTGTCTGTCTTTAAAACTCCTTCTGTCCACTTTGAACCTCATCAGATGCCTCAGCACCAGGCACCTATGGCTTTATCTACCTTTGCTATTGTGTTGAGAAGTCAGTTTTCTGGTGGACTGAGAGTGCCACGTTTGATTAACTGTTGGGAAAATGTCCATTGGTCCAATGAATTAATGAAAATATTTGGAAATTTTCACAAAATAAATGTAAGTTGTTTGAGGGAAGTAGGTCGAACTTTACCATGTTTTCCTCTCCTTTGGGCCTGGTAGTTCCTACTTGTAGAGCAGTGGCACCAAGCAATCAGTACCAGTCCATATCGACAGACTGGACGGTACCTAGATGTTGATGCGTCTTACACCTTCATCCTTCTGGAAGTGTCCTCACTCCTAAGGTCTTGAATTCCCTTTGACTCATTTGGTGTACAGTGTCATACATTGCTCCTCACGTACAACCACATACTGTTGCACAATACCTGTAAAAAAACCAAAATGTTGAGTATTTATTCTGACACATTTTGCATGCATCCAAGTGCTCCAGGTTTATGACTTTTCCATAATTATACCACTGACGACTTGCAATCTTATTACATACCAGACATTATGTAGTCACATAAATTAACGCATTCTATCCTCATATGTCTATGATGTAGGTACTATTGTTATCTCCATAGTCAAAATGGTGTTATATCAAAATGGAGATAACAATAGTATCTACATCATAGACACATGAGGATAGAGTGGAAGAAAAAAAAGCTGTTTAAGTATTAGTATTTTGCCCAAGGTCACAGAGTGGCCTAAGTTCTACTATCCGCTGTCTGGCTCCAGAGTCTAATTACATTATGCTAACTCTTGACTAATTGCTTCAATAGCTGTATTTTTATAATTCATTTTTCTTTTGGGAAGGAGTAATAAAAATCCTGAAGCTTACTTTAACTATGGAATACGTACCCTTTACTTCTATAGTCCCTCAAAGTTTTAACTGAAGTTCCTTTAATGTGCTTATACTGGTAAGGATAACTCTACAGTATTTATATTTATAAAATATATAAAAAATAGAATTTGGAAGAATGTTTTCATTTGTCACTCAGTAAAAGGACTGTTAAAACACCTTTTTTCAAAAACCAAACCAAAGCAGCAGAAACCTACTCAAAATCACACATTAAATCTCTAAAGAAATGTTTAAAATATAGAAGATCCTAGGAGTTATTTTTTCCCTTCTAGCTTAAGTCAAGCCTAGCGTGCCATGACTATACCTCTTCCATGAGATGTTAACTATCTTAGTATGAAAATGGTGAAATTATCATTGTACTGATTGCTACTCAATTATCTTGCAAATTGATAATTTTGTACATGTATGTCTCCATGATGGAAGATCTTGTGTTATACACCATCAAATTTTAGCAAATTAGTTATAATATTCTAATACTTTAATATGCGATGAATAAAAAGGCAGAAAACTCAGAATTACAATAAACATTAGGCTATTTCAGAACACCAGTTTTTCACACCTATTTTCTTAGCATACAGCAGCTCAAAAACCATACATTAAGCATTGTTTGAATTGTCCTGAAGTTATATTCTGAAGAGGTTGTAACACTTAAGAACTGATAATGTTAAAAAGGCAAAAGCATTATAACTCATAGATAGCACACAAGACTTTTACTTCATCTACAAAACGTGAGAATGTCAATGTTTTATTTACTACAGGGATAAGGAGGAAAACAGCAAAATAAATTTGATAATACGATTTACACTTTATTACAAGTGATTTTCCTAAAACTCACAACTTTCACATTTGGCTGCGTGAAACAGAGAGAGAAAAAAAAGGTAACTTTCACTAGTTTTAAGTAGGCCAACTCACATGATCCCTCCAAATGAGAGAGTTTAAATGAGAATGAGTACATTTCTTCTAGCTGGGAAAATATTTTCCTTAATTGAGTTTAAATAATTTACCCATAGTGATGAATAAGCCCTTGGGCTAGGCTCAGAAACCTCCTCTACCAGCCTGTTTTATAAGAATTAAAAAAATATTTATGGGACATACATGAAATATATATATATATATTTTGGTTGTAATAGTAGAGACAAGAATTTTAAAAAATCCGTACTATTTCTCTTTCCGGTCTCTTTCTCCTAAATGCACCTTCTGAGTTTCTTAGGTATGCTTTACAAATAGTATTTTACTTAATGGATTAATGTGTTCATCAACTTTAGCACCCTATGTGTGTGTGAGAACGGGGCTGTTTAAACTGCTTCCTCATAGCCTTCCCCTTCATTACCAGTAGTAAAGTTTACTTAGAAAACAATGAGGAAGAAGTACCATAGCCCACAGGCACCTAGGAATGGGGAATTAATTCAGACTGAGAAAATATGGCTCTGGAGAGGTACTAAAGTCGTATTGGAAATTTATGAAGTCTAAATGAACCCTTTCTCCCCAGCTTCAGACATAGATAAGGTGTGAGATGTCAGGGATGTGCATGGACCCTTCAAAAACTGATATTTTCATCCGTGTTCTTCCCCTTTCCCTCCCCTGCGAGACAAAATATACGGAAATACAAGTGCTTGGTACTACATGCTTTTGAGGCTTAAAAGCTCAATAATAAGCACGCTGTATCCGTTGTTGAGGGGGATCACTTCCTAAATAAACATCATCAGAAGAATCTCTTCAAATGGAGAATGAAGTCACTCTCCCTCCCCAGAGGCTATGAGGGAAAAGGGAGACAGATATTTCCCCTACTTGCACGTGGGATCTCCCTTTCTCTGCCTTGGGAGGTAGCTGAAAGAAAAGGCAAGGCTCAGTCCTCCATGGCAAAGTCTTTGGTCTTCTCCTCCTGGTCTCCCACTTTGTAGCGCAGCAGCACGCGCAGGCGACGGGGGTTGTCCCGGGAGGGCAGCAGCGTGATCTCTCCTGATACGTCCGTGTCTTGCTCCACTTGCACCGGCTCGTTCAGGTAGAGAAGCGCCTGTTTCCAGTGCGTGGCCGGGTGAAAAGGCGAGGTGGACAGCACCAGGGGTTTCTCCGACTCCCCTCCAGGGAAGGTCACCTGGAACCAGATGGCAAAGCCATGCATGGGCGCCGAGCCATAGCAGCTGCAGCGGAAGCGCCCGCCCACTCCGGCCTCCAGCTCCTGCTCCAGGCCAGCGCGGGAGAGCTCTAGCTGAGCAAAGCGCTGCGGCCGGGCCAGCACGTCCTCGCCAGACAGTCCCTGCACCACGATCTCCGAGTGGCCCATGAGGCAGCGCGTGGCGAAACCCTCCAGGCAGCTCATGTCCACACCATAGTGCTGCTTCACCTGGCTCCAGAAACCCAGGCGCCATTCCAGCATCTGGTCGCTGACGGGGGCTATGAAGAGCTCGGCGGAGGCCGGCAGGAGAAGACCGCCTTCCTTCAGCCACTTGGTTCGCGCGTGGAGGACGGAGCTCAGCATGGACTCGTGCAGGAGTCCGTAGCCCATCCACTCGCTCACGATGGCATCCACCTGCTCCGGCAGCTCCACAGTCTCCACCGGTCCCGGCAGGACGTGCACTCGATCCTCCAGCCCGTTGAACCGCACCACCTCCCGGGCCTGTTGCCAGATGGCGCTGGCCTCTACCGCGTACACGCGCCGGGCGCCGGCCTGGGCACAGAAGATGCTCAGAATGCCGGTGCCCGCTCCCACGTCCAGTACCGTCTTGCCTCGCAGTGCTGCCCAGTTCCGCAGGATGCCCAGGCGGTAGGCATCGGTGCGGACACGGTCTGCGATCATCTCCTCGTGGACCGAAACGTCCGAGTAGCACTCGTAGTACAGCTGGTCCCGCTCCCGCTTAGTCCTCCGGGGTCGCTCCAGGGCCGCCTCCCGCTCCGCGCCATCTTCCTCTTCAGTTCCCTCCCCTCCTTCGCCACCGCCCCCCGACTCAAGCTTTCTTTTCTTGGGCTGCGACATCTTGGCCGTCTCGGCCGGCTCCCGGCGTGCGTAGCGCGCCACGGCGCGGGCTCCAGGAAACGGGGGATTCTGGGACTTGTAGTGCACTCTCGTCCTTCCCACTTCCTGCGGGGTCGCCTGACCGGAGGGCCGGAATGTCTCCGGCGCCTGTCCACGGGAGCTGTTTTGTACTGCTCTTCCGGTGTCCTGGCATCCCTTTCCCACCCACCATACCCACATTCTGAGATCCCTTCATTCCCCCTCCAACCCTTATCACTTTGTTGCTTTCACTCCCTTCCTGAAGTCGACACGCCCACTGGAGACTAATAATCCACCTTTCTCTGCTCAACTCATCTTCACCTTTGGTTTTTTTGTTTGTTTGGTTTTTGAAACTGAGTTTCGCTCTTGTTGCCCAGGCTGGAGTACAATGGCACGATCTCGGATCACCGCAACCTCCGCCTCCCTCCCGGGTTCAAGAGATTCTCCTGCCTCAGGCTCCCGAGTAGCTGGGATTACAGGCGTGCACCACTACGCCCGGCTAATTTTGTATTTTTAGTAGAGACAGGATTTCTCCATGTTGGTGAGGCTAGTCTCGCACTCCTGATCTCGGGTGATCCGCCTTCCTTGGGATCCCAAAGTGTTGGGATTACAGGCGTGAGCTACCACGCCCAACCTAACACCTTGGTTTTATTCCAGCCACCATGGTGGCACCATCCACCCACTACCACCTTACCAGGACAACTGTAGCTCTTAAAGTGCTCCAGATGTGGCAATTTAGAAATTGCGCTACGCATTACTCTTTTCTGTTTTCAGTGGAGTTAGGGTGCAAATGTAACAAAATAAAAACCTAGCAGTACAAAACCTTGGTTCTGATTCCAGTATGACCACTAATTAGTTGAGTGATTTAGGGCAAGTAATAGAATTCTGGCCTTCAATTGCCTATTCACCCACTAGTGAATCTTCGTTGCAGTTGGGGAAGAATTACGTTAGAAGAATAGTTACTTGGCTTTCAACTCTGCTCTGATAATTCTGTGTGGCTCACTCAAGAGTTAAATCCTGAAAAGTGCAAACTAAAGAGCCGTGTGATCAAAGCAAACTCATTGCTAGGTGTATTTCTCTCTCGCTATGTGTATATACGTGTGTGTATGTATGTATTTTTTTTCTCTCAGAAATAACAGAATCCATTTCTTTTGATCACTTTTCCAATGCAACTCAGTTTTTCCAGTGTTTCCTTGTCTGGCAATATTGACACTCTCCTCTTTCTCTTCTATTTTTCTTGAAGTCAACCATCAACTGTTACTCTTTGTTTTTCGTAATGGAAATAAATTTTAAAATATGTGTGGCATCTATATGAGTGTCCGTGTTATGAACAGGGTGGGCATAATACTATTTTCTCCCAGCTTAAAAAAAAGTCACACAGAAGAAAATGGACTTTTTTTTTTCTCATGGTCTAGAATTATTTCCTTGTAGCCAATGGGCTTGTATTACTTGTCTGGGATGAAAGTTCTTTCATCCTATTTTCTCTATTAATCTTTCAGTAACAGAATAGGCTTATTGATGTGGCATCCTCTGCTCTACTCAACTTCTAACTTAAGACTCTCCATCCTGGCTGCTCATTAGAATTCTCTAAGGAGCTTTTTTTAAAAAATACCTATGCCTGGGTCTACCTCAGACCAATTAAATCAGAATCACTCCAGTGGAACCTGGGCATCTAGTTTTTAAAAGCTCCCCAGGGAATTCTAATGGGGTGCCAGAGTGAGAACAACTGTTTCTCACTAAAATGATCTTAGTTAAATCTTGCTCATCATTTTAATTGGGTAAATTATATATTTTTTTCAGTGGTCTGGGCTCAACCATTTAAGGTTAAAAACCTTGAAGCATTTCTTCTCTTTTTCTGCCTTGGTTTAATATATTATTTTAAACCAGTAAAATAATTGACACCCAGTGGGGACATCAGATTAGAGTTGTAAGTGTGACCACTTTAATATCTTACTTTTATTGATGGATTGTTACTTAGTATATACTTTTGTCATTTTTTCTTTCCTCAAAAGTCACCTTTTTGTTCTAAATACATTCATTCCTTTACCCAATTTTCAATTCACTTCTTTATGATCTCTTTTAAGAAAATTCTGAATATAAGTTTTACTGGTTCCACCTCCAAAATATATCTTGAATCCATCTACTTTTCTCCATTTCTATTGTCAACAACCTAGTTTAATCTTCCATATTTACTTGTCTGGAAATTAGTCTCCTAAGGGATCACTCAGCTTCTAATCTCATCCCTATCTAATCCCTACTCTGCATAGCTGAAAGAATAATATTTTATAAAACCCATTGGACCATGTCATTCTTAAGTAACTTCCCCTGTTTGTTAGTGGAATAATTCAGTAACTTGAGGTAACTTCCCACCTCATCTCACACCATTCTTCCCAACTTTCATTGTGCTCAAGACATACTGAGCCAGGTGCAGTGGCTTGCACCTGTAATCCCAGCACTTTGGGAGGCTGAGGCGGGTGGATCACAAGGTCAGGAGTTCAAGACCAGCCTGGCCAATACTGTGAAACCCTGTCTTTACTAAAAACACAAAAATTAGCCGGGTGTGGTGGCATGCGCTTTTAGTCCCAGCTACTGGGGAGGCAGGAGAATTGCTTGAACCCAGGAGGCAGAAGTTGCAGTGAGCCAAGATGTGCCACTGACTCCAGCCTGGGTGACAGATATATATATATATATATATATATATATATATATATATATACACATACACACATACACACACACACACACACACACACACACATATATATACCAGCTTCTAATAACACATTTCTTTCCTGTATCAGGTCTTCATGCATACTCTTCCAGTGCCGAGAAAATTGTTTTTCTCCTTAGCACTTTAGTAGCTTCTTCTCATCCTCATGTATCAACTCAAATGTTACCTCATGAAAAAGTCCTCCCCAGGCTACCTTAAATAATATTTTCAAACCCAAGACACTATTTTGTTCCTTCCTAGGATTCATTATTATCTGCATGTATTTAATTAATTTATTTGTTTTCTATACAATATAAACTCCAGGAGACTTGGACTTTCGTATTCCCACTATTCTAGTCCCTAGCACTAAAACAGAACCTGGCACATAGAAAGTGCTCAATAAATAGTCTTAAACGAAGACGATTATGGATGCACAAATTATTATTCATACAGGAAAGAGTAGGAAGAGTTTTGCTTGGTTAGTTCAGTGTGACAACGTGACTGGTAAACTCCGAGAGAAATACAGATATAGATAGAATGTAGAATGCTTCAAGAAAAGAGAATAGTTCAAATTTTAAACACTCTTAATGCTTTTAGATAGAATAAGCACCAAACATTATCCCTAGAGTAGATTTTAAAAGGCCTGTGGCACTTTGCTTTCCTGCATTTGGATTTGGTATAGAGGAGTTCTTTACTGATCTTCTGTACCACACTGAGATGTTTTAAGAAGGAAAGGGACCTAGATCATAGCCCTTCCCTAAGCCCTGCAGCTTAGCAGCAAACCACCTACATGAAAGAGTTGGAGTTTCGCTGGCAGAGCATGCTTTGTATTTTCATTTCAGCAGTCGGTTTGCCATGTCTATTCAATGCTCAAACCTAGTTTTTCAAACAAATGATCTTGAAATTAACTTAGTGCGTCTTGACCACCATTAAGAAGAAATAAGAGATCAGAAAATATTAAATGTGTCAAATGAGTAAAGACGGGTATTATTTCATAAAACTTGTTTTGTCACTCATGCCTGTAATCCCGGCACCTTGGGAGGCCAAGGGGGTAGATCACAAGGCCAAGAAATCAAGACCACCCTGGCCAGCATGGTGAACCCCATCTCTACTAAAAATACAAAAATTAGCCAGGCATGGTGGTATGCGCCTGTAGTCCCAGCTACTTGGGACTCTGAGGCAGAAGAATCACTTGAACCCAGGAGGCGGAGGTTGCAGTGGGCTGAGATCATGCCACTGCATTCCAGCCTTGGTAACAGAGTGAGACTCCGTAAAAAAAAAAAAAAAAAAAAAAAATATATATATATATATATATATATATATATATATATATATATATATGTATGTTGTATGTTTATTTCTAGCTTCAGGTTATGGTTAAAAGTTTGAAATATACAGTTTACTATTCTTCAAAACACTATGAATTTTGGCTTTGCTGTACTTTTGCTTTGAGTGCCTATACTCTTTCTTCCTCGTATTCATCTTTTTAGATAACGCTTAATGTTATTTTTTCAACCAGTCTATGGGCCTTTAATACATATAACTCTTGTTGCCCTTGTATCACTGTATCAGAACTATTTCTATATCTGGCTTTGGACTGTGGACATTTGAACACCAAGATTTTGTATTTTTCACTTTTGTGTTGAGAACATAGTGCATCGTGCTGGAATCTGAACATTTTCCATACTCCAGATTGTCGCTCCCAAGTATATTGAGGTTCATAGATGTGCTTTGGATGACTGGGAGAATCATGATCTATTTTCTGTGTCAAACACACTCATTAGTTTGTTCCACCATTCACTTATTCAACAGGCATGCTGGACTTCTACTCTGCACTAAGTATTATTCTAGAAATAAGAAACAAAGTAAACAAAAGGGCAAATGTTCTTATCCCTGAGGAACTTATATTTTTGTGTTAATGTTATGTTATCTGTTATTATTATGCTTTCTTACTAGCAACTTATTATACCACTTTTAAATATCAACTCTCATATATTACTTATTTCTAATTTCTTTCCCTCTTTAGTTCAAAGGTCTATTATTTAAAAATATTTATTAAAGCCTAGTGTAAGGATTGAAGATAGTTCCTTCAGGAGTTCAAAAATTAATTGTAATTTTCAACGTGTGTATTGAGGAAGGGTAAAGGAGCAATGGCATGAAAAATGTTATAACCATCTCTTTAACATGAATACTCATTAAATGATGTAGTTCTTGCCATTCTGCAGTTACTTGGAAGCTGCAGCATAGAAAGAAGCACTTCTGTTAAGAAAAATTTATAGAAAAAAAGGCAAAAGTGGTGACTTTGGTATTTAAACAAATTGGAACATCAAACATAGAAAGCTTAGGTATAT